TGTCACTTTTTGCCTTTAATTTTGATTGAAATGTACATTGTAATCAATATCTGTAAATATTTTTATTATTTTGCACTAATAACATTAATTTTGGCATTACCCAGAATCCCTTGTGGGCGTGGCACATTTTGTATTCTCATAAAATCTTAAAAAATTCAATGTAAAAATGGGGAAAAAAGGGTTTTGTAATTTTTATTTCACATCGAAGCAATGATCTCCTCATTTTCTTTCAAAGGGAGTTTGTAAATAGACTTTCGCCCTCTCTTTCTGACTGGTAGGTCACCACAAATGTGACGGACAGTAGCAGCATGTACAAAGGCCTTCCGTTTTTCGTCAATTGTGAAAGTCATGTCATGAATGTTCTCCCTTATATAAAAGTGCCCCTTGAGAACTCTGTCACCTCTGTAATAATGACACTGATAATCATCTGTGACATTACTGTCAAGTTCTTCAACTCCATCAGAAGTGACCTGAAGGAGATAGAAGTCATAGACAGGATCATCTTCAGCAGCTATGGCAACTGTACTTCCCTTGCTGGCCAGGTCAGCTATGTAGGAAGCAGTGTCGTGGTCTAAAATTGGTGCTTCAGTTGCCTGTCGAGTGGTTGCCAAATCACCCTCTCTGGCTAGCTCCACCATCTTCCATTCATCAAGCCATGCCTTGTTAGTACAGTTCTCCTCATCATTCACAATGCAACTAATGCAGTAACATGAACGGTGTCGCACAAACACCTTTCCCTGCTGAGGAGTGGTCTTCACGCAATGCAGTTTTCTGATTCCTTTTAACTCTGTGAATTTGCGTCCAGCTCTATTCCTGACAACAGATCCCTCCCCAGAAGATGGCACAAAATGAAAGATCCTGCGCTTTAGCTGAACTGACTTTGTTCTTGCTGAGAAGCTTGATGGTGCTGGCTGGGAAAAGTGCTGGACTAAGAAGTCATGCATGCTTCTAGCACTAGTGATGGTAGCTGTTCTTCTGAGGACAGCTTGGCTGACTTTTTGCTTTACGTGAGAACCTGCAGCATCCTGTTCTCCCTTGGCATGTGAGGTCTCGAAGTAGTTTCTCTGGATGGGAAAGCCAAAGTCAGCGAGGGAACAAGAAAGATCACCAATGCAGTGCCGGGATTTGTACTGAGCAGCACATCCGTCAGTGAACTCGTGCATCATCTGTGTGTTGTAGCCCAAATCATTGGTCAAATAGTTTTGAATGAACTCTTGCATCGTGTGAACACTGTCATAATCTTGGACAGGGTCATCGGAAATGACAAATATGTGTTCCTTCACAAGATGAGGGTCTTCTTCAGTGCTTGCTACTCCATCAACTTCTTCTACTGCATGGCGATGAAGTATGGTGACATGTAAGGACACTTTGGCAACATCGAAGTATTCTGATTGGATTTCATCTTGCTGCCGACAAGTGTAACCTTCGGAATAGTCATGCACACACACCACATGGCCTACAGGAAGGTTGTCGAGCAAGTTGTCGAGTTGCTCCCGTTGCCATTTTGCCATGAAAGAGTGACTGGGGTAGACTGCAAGGAGCTCCCTGAAATACTGAAAAAGCTCTGATGGGGGTGTTTCTTTCTGGATAAGTGCAATTTTCTTTTTTTCTTGACCATTGGCAAGAAACTTTCCAGTTGGAATGTAGTCATAGCGTGACCATTTTACAGATCCCTCATCTGAAGTTTCAGTAGGAAGAAGCTTGAACAAAGCTACACCACATTGGTCGCACTCTCTTTGCAGGCACTTGATGTTGTGGAATGGAGCACCTTCTGGTTTAGAGCATAGGGTTGACTCCACAACCTCAGACAATGTTTTGGGTACTAAAACTGACGTGTCTTCCCCAGCAGAGGTTTTCATGGCTGCTTTTCTAAACTTCATGCATGTAGAGAAAACAATCTGTGTTTCCACATGTTTTCTGCACAAACAAGACTTTCTGTCTCTTTCCCTGGCCTGCCTGACAAAAAAAGGTTTCAAGGTTTCAAACTTTCTTTGTTTTACCTTAATTTCAGGATGAAGGTTGGTGAATTCAATGAACGCCTCGGTTTGTGTCTTTTCAAGCACATGCTTTGCATGGTGAATGTACTCCTTCTTTCCAATTCTTTTCCTTGAAAAATCTTTTTTGTCTCCTGTGGGTCGGCTTGCTGTGTTTGTCCAGTAATCATAGATCACTTTGCTCTCTTCGTCTGTAAGGGCGTCTCCTCTAACTTTTCGTTTTGCGTACAGCCAGTTTTCCACTTCCCCTTTCAAAATTTTTTCACGGTGTTCGATGGCTCTGCTGATACTCTTTTCACCAAGGTTGACAAGTTTGCCAACAGATTTTTTCGCCTTTGCTTTCTTAATTTCTTCTCCAAAAGCAAGAGATTTAAATGCTTTAAACACGGTCCGTTTTTCATTTGATCCTGAACGCTTAACGTGGCTCAATCCTTCAGAAATATCAGAAGCAAGTGCCCTTAAAGTTTCGGTTTCCTTTTCGTCTTCAGGAGTCTTTAGCAGACCAC